CATCTCGAATGTTGAGTAGAGCGCGCAGCACCGGGGCCTTTACGCGCACCCAACCGCTTGCTCCAAACAACTTTCACATATGTTCGCAATAAGAGGTAAGGCAACAGCAGGAATACACCGCTGAAATCGTATCATTCAGTAGAGGCGGTTCGAAGAGGGTTTGAGTGAGTGAATGAAGAATCCTCTAGCCGATCCCATTGGTAGAGTAAGAGAGCCGGAGGCGAGTTTGCTCTTCCCATTATGATGGAGTCCCCTCCCCCCCCCCCCGGCTGATTGCGAGGTGATCAGCAACATTCCTGTGAATGGAGAATCCCATCAAACCATCAATGGGTGGGATGCTATAAGGCAGACAGTATCCTCCACTTTATCGACAGCTATAAGCTTCTTCGAAACGCTCTCATTCCCAAAATTTGAGGTTGTGTAAGTTCCTTAGCTCTGCTCTTTTGAAGTCTGGGAATCCGTTGCAAGGAGGACTGTTCGACACAAATAATCAGGGCGTGTCGAGTCATCTAACGAGCTTTTTCTCGAGTTCACAGGTTTTACCATGATGGCTGGACGAGCTGCTCCAGCTTCACAAGAGTTCACAGGTTTCACAGAGTGAGACTTGTAAACCGGAACTAGTGAAGCAATGAAAGTGCAAATGCCCCCCCCCCCAGTAATCATTTCCTCGAGAAAGTCCAATCAAAACAAAACACTGGTACAAAACAACTAACCACATAGCTGAAACAACTGCATTACACGTTTCACATTGCAGTTTTGAAGTGGAGGGTTTTTCTGGAAAACGATCACACTGAAATAGGTTTTTGAAAGCATATGGCACGACAGTCTGGTCCTGCATTGGTATATTTTGTGAAAAAGACAATATGGTACCCAAGCGGGCGATGAGTGGCGTTTTCTTGCGCAAAAGGCTAACGAGAAGCAACACTCCCAGGTGTCGAAAGTACGACGGTTCCACCCCTAGTTGACATGTCAGCCGCGCAACAAAAGATCCCATCACTATCAGTACCATGCGTTCATGTCGCCTGAGGAAACGACCGGTGTCTTATGAGTTTTTATTCTACGAGAAATCCTCACTTCTGGTGCAAAACCAGCTACAGTGAACTCGCACAACTTAGATACACAAGAAGAGATTACTTCGCGGTATCGCGCTAGTTTGCATGCCTCCCCTGCCTGACAATAGCTCGGCTTGTCCGCTAAGCGAGGAACATCAAAGAGACTCAAAAATGGCACGGATCTCCGGTGGGAGGAGAAATAAGAGGAGGACGTTGCTCTTAATGCGGAACACCACACGCTTACAATTAGACCTGGCGCGACGTCCGCCGCAAGTTACCAGCTTTGTATTTTCTTCGTCCCCGCCTCAGATCTCCGCACAATCGGGCCTCAATAAGCGCACCCATAGACGGGCTTGAAAAGGTTCCCCTCGGTTTATCCTCCGCTGACGGGCTACCTGGCACGCTGCTCAGAAAGTGAAGGGTCACCTTGTAGGACTCTCCCCGATGAGCCCATAAAATCGCAAAGAAAAGATATGCAAAAAATCCACGTGACTCCACCCATGAGATCATTGCGGAATATGCCGAACATTGAAAAGCACCTCTTTGTTCCGGTTCCTTGGATCGTTTCGCTAGTGAATAAGAATTGCACGAGAGAACACATAGACCGAAGACAGCGCAGAACACCCACAAAAACCTTGCCATCGTAACCAAAAAATAGGGAGATGCCCACTAAAAATACATCTTAGACGTTTTTTTTACCTTCATAGTAACTACCAATCTGTAACTGAGATTTCCCGGCTAATATAATATATAAGTGCATCAAGAAGTTACTGAAAAGAGATTGGCGACAGCGCATATTAAGGGGCACTCAAAGACAAGCTGTTCACTCACTTCCGTAGTTCCGACTCCTTGCCGTGTGTGGGGTGAATAAGTCCGCAGCTGCAGTAGCGCATCACTTTTCCTGCTCAAATGTGCAGGAGGAACGGGGCGGGAGGGCATTATACCGCTCCCATACTCCACCCCCTATCCTAAGTGCAGCTTTTGCGTCGATCCCAAATCCCACAGCGAAACACGCATTCAGCTGTAGGGAGCAGCAGAAGTGAAGGGGTGCAGACGAATAATACCCTGGCCATGGTTAGGCATGACCCTGCGGCAGCGGGGACGGATTCCGAAATTGGTACTCGAGTATCACTACCTTCATTCCTGATACCAAGCTCCTTAGAGCGGAGAAAATGGCACGCTACTGCAGCTGCGGACCATTCATCTCACCCACGGCAAGCATCAGAATCGTGAAGACACAGCTGGCCTTGAAATCTCGCTGATGAGGGCTCCTCTCAAGGAATATAGCGCCTCATTGGCAATGCATAAAAGCTTCAAATAAATGAATTATAAAGCATGCGGAGAAGAAAGGCTACAAAGACTCGAATAAAGAACAATCAATATCAGATCACGTTAAAGACTAGGAGGCACATCAGGCGATGTTCATAAGCGAACGGAGTTTGGTCTACCACTTCTATTTTTCCCATTGGCGCGATCTTCTTACTGCCCCTCCTTCTTTACTTCTTATTGGAACGTTAACTGAAAAGGAGTGCGTTCATAGAGCGGTGGTAGTCCTGAATACTAAACTCGTAGGCAATTGTTTCACACTCTGCGGTCTAGCGTTTCTCTGAAAGCGGCGGTTCGGCGAAAAGCTTTCGATACATATCGACTGGCGGTTGGGCGAAGAGCCTGGCGGTTGGGCGAAAGGGTTTTGGTACGTATCGACGGCGTTTCGCCAAACCGCGAGACGTTTTTTTTTATTCCGCCTTCGACAAAAAACGGCTAGCTCTGCCATCGGGCGAGTGGCGTTTTTCGCCAGCGACATGATCCCACATCTACTGCTTTTCGCGCAAATAAGTCATCGATCGAAGAATGCGCCCATCCAACCGCCCAACCGCCCAACCGCGGCGGTTGGACGGTTGGACGGTTGGGCGATTCTCCGATCGATGACTATTTTTTGCTTTTCTCCCAACCGCCGTTTCGTCAGGGCCTGGCGACTGTGAACAATGCCTTATTGGAAACGCTTAACTGAAAAGCGATGCGGTTAAAGAGCGGTGGTAGTCCTGACTGCGCCAGCGCTACCGTAGAAGGCGCCACGGAATAAAAGGCAGAGACTGTTGGCGAATCAATGGAGTCAGATGTAAATTCGACGAAGCATAAATGAAACTAAGAACCTACACATAAGCTATTCAGTGTAAACAACGCTCATAATATCGGTGTTCTGGGCACGGTAGGGGCCGTGTTCGTACTGTGAATATTCGGTCAGCAACGAAGTAGTGGGGCGTATAGGCTGAATTGTTGGTGCTATTCGCGTTACGAGTGCTGAAGAAGCAGTTAAAACAGTTTGACAAGACTGAAATAAGACTGCCTCTTCCTGTTGTTTAATCTGGCGGGAAGAGACCTGCGAAAAAAGAAACTGAGAGATTCAAGAAACACTGCCTTTTCAGGCGAGAGGCCAGAGACAAATTGATAGGAGAGGAGAAAGAGAACGAGACGGCAGACTGTTACATTCGTCTGCTGTGCTAATCTATGGGGGAGGGGAGCGCTACGAAGATAACCACGATTTTTTCCCCTGACAAGGCAACTCAAACTATGGCCTATCTGCGAGAAGTTCTACCTTATCAGCATAATGAATGAAATGGGCATTACACTCCTTATCCCTGAGTCAGAGTAGGCGTGGCATTTGAACATGGCACGGAGTCTGTTACTCTCGGAATATTCCAGTTTGGGACAACTGTAATCTTGTTCTGTTTTGGACAGAGACACGATAGCAATTGTACATACTAGGGTGAAAATATCTCACCAGAAGCGTAGACACGTTCAGGTCAAATTGGAGCATGCGGCCACGCCTACCCAATCTCAGGGATCGAGTATACTTGCTGCTAGTCACACACTTGTCTATGGAAACAGTCATAACACATATGAACTAATGCGTCAAATCAGCAAATATTCTTTGGTACTGGAGCACAAATTCCTCTGTGTAAAGAACAACATCAATTATTTAGCGATGCAGAAATACTACTACATACTCATGCACTGCCGAGAATGCACAAGAATTCAATAAAGTCTGGATAGATCACAGGCTCTCATAACAGCAGGGTTGAACGCTTTGCTCAGGAAGTACTTGCATTCTTCACATCCCGAGAATTACTTTATTAATTACATCAACGTGATAAATAATCGTAACAGAACATCAGACATTATTGTCCTATCAGATACATGAACGTATGTAAGTCAGGATCTACACAGTATCCCATTTGACAATATCAAAATTTACGCTGCATATTTCACGGACAAGTTCACAAAGCTGGACCATGACCTTATTGTTGAGAACATGCGAGAACTTCATAGCATTTGCTTCAAGAATGCCAACAGAGGTTGCCACTAAGGTTCTATACAGATGGTAAAGAAACCAAGAGCTATCACAGATACCACGAATACAGCAATACGGCTAACCGACTATATATTACATGATGTTTTTATCTTTTTGCAAATAACAGGTTTGAGTCGACTAAAGGTGTACCGCAGGATGGCAATGTTGGACCGCTATTATCAGATCTTATGCTTTCTGTCATGGAGTATTGTTATGCAAAATCCAAAAAGTTTAATAATGGTAAGCTTCATCATTCCATACATATGGACGATTTGCTTGTTGCGCATAACCAAACAGATAGTGACGTGAGCGAACATTTATTGGAGCTTATGAAAAGACCCTCCAATCGAAAAAAACCCCGCATAAGGGAAGATGCTTCTTGTGACAGCTTGAAGGTGGCTCAAACGACGAAGGGATGAGAATTCGGACCTGGTAACTTGCTGCCATTTTTTCCGATTGAAGGGTATTTTATAACATTCAATAAATCTTCGTCCAAGTCACTAACTGTTTGGCTATGCACAACAAGCAAATCGTTCAATGCTCCATTGTGGAGCGATTACCTGCAGAACGTACCCACTATCTTTCGAAGGTTTCGAACGTGTAACATCAACTGGGGGTGATGCCTGACCACGATAAGGAAGCATTCCATGAACTCTAACGATTCCTCATTCGTGGGCATGAATCTCCGTGAAAAGGTGATTCATTGAGTTCCCACTTGCACTCAATAGGACATGAGCTTTGCAGCTTGCCTGCGAGCCCAAAATTGGAATCTTCAAATCACGTAACTCATTCCAAGCATTCCTGAGACGCGTAGTCTCTTGACCACATACTTAGCAACTAGGTCTGGTAGGTTTTTAACTAGACGTCAAGAAAGGAGGCTGTCGAAAATGCTCAACTTCGTCGACCTGACACTCCAGTTTGAGCACTTCAATATAAGTGGAAAGAGAAACAAGAAAACTAAGAAGACTGCCGTATAGGGAAAGGAATCCTCTGCAAAACAGTATGAAACTCAGTGGCAGAAGTTCTCATCTTCGACGCGATATTTTGAGCGGGAAAAATTAACGCTTTTACTTATGGGCCGATCCAATATATCCCTTACTGGCGAGGCTTCTGTTACATGCACATAAACATTGAGGTCAAAAAACACCTATTCTTTCTTCGCCTAACACCTATTCGTGACGATATGCTCATGTCACTTTTGAGAAGTTGTTCCGAAGAAACATTATGACTAGCACGATTAATGTATTTATAGAAATAAATACATATGTTACAGATAATCAATAGGAAATGACCATAAAATTATGAGTAGGCCGGTAAAGGTATTCTCATCGGCAGCGGTGTTCAACACTAACGCCAATTTATCACTGCAGTTCTTTGTTTCACCCTTTTGTATTCGTTTCAACTCTGTCGATGGTCTTTCTCAGTTCCAATCTATTAATTACAGTCAAATTTCTTTTCTCGAACACGTATTTTCAAAACAATTCGCGTGATATCCTTTTATTTTCTGTCCCATTTCTTTTGCCTACTCTCTACTACATGAGTTTTGCATGTGCACCTATCTTACAACTTCTCTCATTTTTATCTTTTTTTTTCTCATGCTCCTTCCATATGTAGTCTCCGTTCTTGTTTCGCCAACCCTATATACTGACAAGACTCTGGGTTGGTGGACATTGATGGTTCGTCTGGGGTAAGAGGCGAAATGGACCATCTGTATTTTGGTGTGTTTTCTTATCCCAACATTTGTTTTTCTTTGTTTCTGACTTGCACAATGAGGGCAGTCATCTTGAAATGTGGCTGCAAGATGAGACTAGTGGAAGTAGGTTGTTGTTCAAACTTTATGTAAGCATAGATATCCAGCGGTTTTCAACCAGAGGTTTCTCAGAGGGAAGAGACACGAGAAAACAACCAAGCAACCTTCTCATGGAAATAAATTTGAGGGAACCAGGATGAGCCTCTAGGTTGATTATATCAAACATCGGTCAAAACAGGGTGCAGCATCAGGACAATCCCAATAAGGGCGTAAACGGCGTAATAGAGCTACACTCGAAATCCCTAAAATGAGGTAGGCGTGGCTGCGAACTTCAACGAAACGTCGTGGTGGCTATGCTTTTAGAGAGATATTTTCATTTTGACCCAAATGTGGTCTCCGTCCAACAAAGAACAAGATGGCGGTTGTCTCAAATTGAAATATCCCACGAGTAACCAGTTCTGTGCCATGTTCGAATGCCACGCCTACCCCGTCTCAGGGATAAGGAGAATATATACGGTCATTACGCCTGTAAACAAGCGGGCGCGTGGAGGGAGGGGTGAGTGAAGATGTGTCGCTACTTCCCACTCGAGGCACTAGGCGTCCTTGTAGAGTAACTCCTAGCGAGTTGACTGACACATGTGGAGTCGACGCGCGGACGCGTGGATAGGGTTGCGAGGCGAATAGCGCTTGGAAGGCTTGTTCACTGCCGTCGCTGGGGCACCGTTGGATGGGTTTGAGTGCGCCAGCCTGTTCTCCACTGACTTTGGTCGCCTGCTACTTCCATGCTTGCCAGTTGTCTGCCAACTGGCGCGCACCGTAACCCAGCCTCAATTGCCCTACGTCCGCGACCAAAAATCAGAGAGAGATGCAAGCCCTACCCTCTCCCCCCTCCCCTCTGAAGCCCGTTGGCTCAGGATGGCACAGCAAAGGGTTAAAAAGGCCGCCCCCAGCCTGCGCCCCTCTCCCTCTCTCGTTGGAGGGTGATGGCTATTGATCCTGGGACCCGTTCAAAATGTAAAGTTGGAAGGACTGACGTTTCTCTCTAATCAAAGAAGCAAATGCACTTTATTTTATCAAAGGAGTCCCGTGTTTTGAGGGGCAGCATGTTTGCTTTTAGCTGCTCCAATTCTCGTGAGATTTAGTTCCTATAATTTTTATTTCATCCCCATACAACTCAATAAATCAAAAAGACTTTATTCCAGTATGCCATTGTCACGAGAAGGGTCGCGCCGCATTCGTACAAAATGAACCAGGACGACTATTCCAGTCTGCGGCGTGGCCGCACGCGACTCAGCACTGTTGAAGTCCCACAACTTCACTTGCGCAGTGTGTGGTAAACAATGAAAATTAACAGTAACAACAATTGACGGATGTACATTACTTTTTTGAACTAATGACTGATGAAATCCGTAGAAACCATAGGAACATGGCGAATCACAGCCATAATACAACATGATATAAACCGAAAACTACCGGATAAGAAAATTGGCTACCGTACTCCAGTAGCACAATGGCAACTCAATACAATATAACAGCATGCGGTAATGAAACTACCCAAATTTTGTTAACCTTCAGCAGTGGTATAGTTGGTAGGTTCGCGATTCGGCGAGGGCCGTGCGAGGAGGTGTAAACTCGCCTGTATTTTCTTTTGTATTTCTGGCGGTATTTTCTCCCTACAAGGGCTAGTTCAGGTGGAGGACAACCAGTGGTAGAAGAAGTGGTGGATGGACACAATACCTGATACTCCCACTGCCCCGCCGGAATGCAACCGTATCAGCGTTACCTATTCTGTGGTCCTATTGGTGAGTAAAGACCGCCTCCGTTGGTCTTGAGGACAGTAAAGAGTGGAGTTATGATGGCCCATTCGCAAGGCGCATAGCAGATTCCGCTGACACTCGTTGTCACACTCGGCATCCTTCACACGGAAAGCATTTCTGGAATCGTCATGGAAAACTCAAGAGAATAGGATAATGGCCAGTGGAAGGAAACCGCTTAGAATAGGTACCCACCTGAAATATTTCTTGGCTATTCGTTCCTCTTGAAGTATTGAGTTCACTACGATATTCCAGCTGGCCGGAGATAGATCACGCAAATCGTATTTTTCCTGAAAAAACAAACATAAAAAATGAAGTTGGTCCAAACCGGTTTCAAACAGTACAGTGAAAGGACAAAGAAGGGAGCTGGGCGAAGCAGGAGTAAGAGATGAAGTTCTCCAGCTATATTTCTCGCCACGCGGCCGTATGTCGCCGCCGGTGACAGTCCAACAATTACCCTTACTTCACTAGTGCTCCTCTCACTGTTAGAAAGAGAGAGGACAATTTTACACTGTTCCTCCTCATGTCTCGGCCCATACTACAGGCTTCGGCTGGCCTTTCAAGGAAATTTTTACCCTCAGCGCACAGTCTTGTTCGCTGCGGATGGTGTGAGACGTGTCAGAGGGAAGAATTCGCCGCGGTGCCAACCCACCGTCCTCGACCACTCCGCGCCAACAGGGGGGCTGGGATTATCTTCGCATCGTCCTTCAAGGGTCAAGTCAAGTTCTTGCAACAAGAAGAGGACGCTGCTCGCAAGGTCCGATCGTCCATAACGGGGTGGATAGGGCAAGAGCCATGCTGATCACCATAAAAAATGACCCAGTTAGCAGGGAACACCACTTTTCCAAGCTGTTCATTTCAAAACTGTAGCCTAACTTACCTTAGCCGTATAGAGCATTTCCCACTTTGGCGGCTGCTTTTCGTTAGCCTTGGTTAAGTCAGCATAATAGTTTCGTATGTCCGCAACATTCTGAAACATTAAAAACTGCCCAGCCAGAAACACTAAAAAAAAGCGAGGACTATTGCTGCATTGGCGTCTGCAGGATTTGTACCCTCCTCTTTGGTCTGCATCTATACATAAGAGAATGATGGAAACGGAATGAGCTCTTATCCAATGACGAAGGTCACACAAGATTTAGGCCTAGCCTCCGCCCACCATGACCCTCCTGGACTGTTCTTTGTGAAGAAAAAACCTATCGCACTTGCGTCCAGATTCCGGTGCTTACAATCACGTGGATTCATAGAGCCGGTAGTTTCAATCGGTTTATGAAAGTGGACTATTTGAGGTGGGCGGGTTTCAACCAATTGTATCATAAGCACAGTTTTGTGTCGATCTCAGGACTTGGTGTGAAGACAACCACGACCTGCACGACGCAGCTCAGCATTCTGTAACAGCTATACCCTATATACAATGGACCTGTAGATTCCTTGTGGCACCCGACGAGTCTCTCAATTCTCAAACAACTTCCCTAGTTCACAGGGATTTTGCAACGGCCTGACCAGACTGCCTGTGAGCTTTCCGTTTAGTTTACGTCGAACCCCATAATCAGCCCATTCGGGCGATAATGTTGAAAATGCCTCCCCTCCAAGCCGAAATGCGCCGAAAATTCTGATTGGGAGCTCACAAACTGATTGGAGAAATCGATGTCGTATATGCGATATGCAGGATTCAAATTAGGCCAAATGTCAGACACTAGTGAGTGCCATCAAAGGACAATGAATAAATGCCTGTCTTACAACGTTGAGGTGTTTGAAATCAATAAAAAATCTGATTAATTCTTACTCCAACCACAGAGGTGGACGGAAACATTGTTGCAATATCGTCGCTTAGAATACAGTGAAACTGATCAAAGTGACACGGTGGCCCGAAAAAACTGAGCCTTTGAATCGTAGCACGAACCTGCACGTAATTCCGTTATCTAGACCGTTGCGACAACGAAAAGCGGCCAAAGTAATCACAAGCATATTCGAGTACCGTGCAGTAGGGTACACCCCAGCGAAAGTCGACTGCTCATCTGTGGTTGCTTGAAGGAGACATGTGGTCGGTAAATGTTCTCTGCAAAAATATTTTTACTTGTTTTCCGGGTTTCTTTCTTCACAGCGAGGACATATCCCTAACCCGACCACCTCTTCGCTCGACAGTAGTTTTCTCAAGGGGAACCAGAAAGTTCTGGAAAACTCGGGGCAGTCGGTAGGGAGGCCGGTAGATAGAAAGGCGATGCGGCAATGGGAAAGGAGTGCTACCAGACCTGTCGTACTCTGCTGCATAAAATTCTTTCCCCATTTGCAGGGTTCCCGAAGCCCTGATCCACGCAGCCATCCTCGGCATCCATCTGATTAGATGAGACTCAGCATGGAGCTGAGACCCTGAGCTCTGGGGTCTTCCCTCTTTTATCTAATTCCTTGCGGGCGGGTGCAAACGATTCATCACGATTCCGGGACTTCGTTCCCGGCGGGTCTTAATCCGGCACTTCGAGCCAGTTTGACGAGTTCAAAGATCGCGCGATCACAATAAGTCATTGTTAGTACTTCGAACGCTGAAGATCATTTCCTGACTCGCGTGTGTTGGTGTGAAGTAAGTGTGGTTCTGCCTCCAGCAGCTGGTAACAAAAGCCCTCGAATCCGGGCTACGGTAGATCGGTGAGGCGAAAGAAGTCGGCTCCGAAATCCTTGCTTTGCGGTTCTCACGGCAGTGCGTGTTCTCCTGGAGCTATTCGGGACCCATGACTGACAGGTACACATATGTGAGACAGAAATGGAAAACTCAATGACCACAAGAATGTTACCTCTTCTCGCACGACTCCTCAGAGTGGTTTAGGTAGTTCCGTGCCAACTTCCAGCTATTCTCTCATCGTCCAGGAGGACTATGTGCCGATTCGAGTACATGAACAGACCTCTGCCTGTTAGTTCGGCCTGAAACCACCAAGCGTTCGATTTTTATCGCATGTCTATACAGGTTCTTTGACGCAGGTGAGGGTAAGGGTTGGCAGCAGTCCGCTTTGAGGAGAGGGGGGGGGGGCATTTCGCACTTCCGCTGCTTAACCACTGCCGTACTGATCCAATGTTTCTACAACAAAGTGCAAAATACTCCTCCTCGCGTCAAGCCTCAAACTGCTCATCAACGCCAAACTGAACCCTTAAAAGCTGAGAAAAAACCATAGTCTATCCGTCCCGTCTGGGATCCCTTTGACTTCAAGTAAAGGGTCCGAGCTCAGAGACAAAAACTTTCTTTCTGGTCCAGAAACTAGACTCTATAGAGGATGCCAGCTGCCTCAATTATCAAGTTTGTGTTTTCACCACAACATCCTGTGTTGTAGCGAGATCACAGACGCAATCCATCGGTCACTTTGACGCGATAACGAACCAACGACTGGAAAAAAACCTATGACCCGTAATACGTAGACAATCACAACCCACAGGCCTACATAGATCCGAATTCGGCCAATCACCTACCTACGACACCGTCTTTGAAGCCGTGTCATCATTGTAGCAAGGGTTGTACCTACATTATATTGCGAATTCTTAATACAACCAACGTTGGCCTAGGCAACCCGCTCTTCGACGAAATGCTGCTGCGAAGCAAAGACTGAATGCATGATATTGTCTTATCTTCCTATTTTTCTACAAAATTCTGAAAAACCTGGCGACGAGTCTGACCCCGCGCTTGGAAACGAATCAAGTATACAGAATGTTATTAGCGCTTATAAACATGTGCATACCCGCTTCTATCGTGACTTGATTCACGGTCGACGATGACGAGATGCCACACATGTCCTTTGCATTAGACGCAGTTCTGCGCGAGCTGGCTGAGGGCAGGACCTCTTTACTTTGCCATTCTTCCTGTTTCCGTTCTTCCGATTCACGAGTTCCTCAACTCTGCCCTGAAGCCTGGGACGACTCTTGTCGAAGCTGGAGCCGAGATCAGTCGAGCCAACCTGGCATATAAACCATTGTTGGACTTCATTAAAAGGCTCCTCTTAGATGGGTCGACACGTCGATGGAAGAGTAGCCAAAAATGCAAATGGCCCCCTCCCCCCGTCGCCGAACCTGCCCGCGCCAACTATCATGCGCCGTACGAGTCTTTTCCCTAGCACACCCACTGTCTAGCATTTCACATCAACGCTAGCTAATCTCTGTGGCAAAAGCAGTGGCAACTACAGAAAAAGTGCAATTGTACGCCAGACTCCGCCCTTATGACAGCTTGGGCTATGGGCCCTTCGGGAGAAACTCAACGAATAGAGTAGCTTGAGATGAACCTATCCCTATTACCTTCAAAGTTCTGTTGGAACTCACCTATTCACAGGTACTCCTTCATGGTTGCCGATTGCCCAGTAAGTTGGAGTCAGAGGAAAGAATTCGCGGATCAAAGCGCTCACATTCCTAAGGGCTTTCTTATGTTCTTCGATCGAATACATCCAGTCAGCGTGGTTTATAAAATCTCCCGATAGCATAACATAGTCCACCTAAGTTAGAATTGAATCAGTTTAGTATATGCTTGACCACGACGAAAGAGAAAAATCTATTGTCCTATAACTGCAATTCATTTTTCAAACCCGAATTCAAACTCATTTCATTAAAAGTATGACTGAGGAGGGAAAAAGACAAAAGATAGATAAAAGTGACAGTCGACGAGCAGGACATGGCACGAGAACCTAATCTCGGATCGGCTCCCGCCCTGGCCAAGCAAGCCTTCTACCTCTCCGAGGACGATAAATACGTAGCAGATCCGCCTTTGAGGCTAAAAACACTGGCTTGTACATCGGCTGATTCCTGCAAGGCATTGTATAAGGCGCATCGCATTCATCAGCCGCCAAGACTTAACGGCGAAGACTTCACTTCCATTCCTTTATGGTTGAGAGGGTTTCGAGGCCGATATTTCAAAATCGTAGCGGTTCCGAAGACCCTGATTTTCTTTCACGGACACCTTCTTCTAAAGTACAGTAAAGTGCAGTGACTTGGAGTGATAGGAAGCGCCACGGGCAGGCACGAAATCAGTCGGCCAAAGCTTTTTCTCGTTCGCAAAATCCTTTGTCCTTTAGTGAACAGGTGTCGGACTTCGCCAGGGAGTCTAGAACACTCAACTCAGCTGGTTCCCTTTCGGTTACTGGGTTGGAACATGGCGATCAGGCATAAAAGTCGAAAATATGGCACCAGGAGGGTAGCATGATCCGCGACGGGCAGCCTTGTACCGGTTTCGCAGCAAAAAATGTTAAGCGATGGGTGCTATAGCGCAATATTTTCCAGTGACTCCGCCCCTATACTCCGCCTTCCAGTGAAAAACGTAACTACAGGAAATGGTCACTTGTAGGACCATGGAGTTCTTATCGTGGAACCAGCTGTGCGGATGAGGGCGTAGTGTTGGAGATGGAATTAATTGGGCACGTACAAACTAGGATCGAAATGGGCTTTATCTAGGGCAGTTGGCATGTTTTTTCAACGTTTTTCTTCATTAGCAAGTTACTCAGAACCTTCTCGTGTATATGCGAACCCCAAACTCCACCTGTGATGGTGAATGATCGCGGGCTCTGCCTATAAGGTGTAAGTCAAATGCGAGGCAAATCTCCAAAGGAAAGGGTATAATGTGTGATTTGGAGAAGTAGAAAAATACGGAAAGGACCGATTTGAAATAAGCAGTGTCAAAAAACAGAACTTATTAGAAGTATTCAAGGCGACTACAGTCCACGTTAATCATGTGGGCGGAGATAGTCGATGATTATCCCCTCTTCAGTGGTGGAGTCCCTTCTTCCCTTCATCGAAAATAGCAAGTGAAGGGGAGGGAGGCTATGGTAAGGTGTCCCCGCCCGTACAATTAGCATTGACTGAACCTCATGTCATAGTATTTAAATATGAGAAAAGTGGCCTACCTCAGCTGTTGCATTGATATGCTCTAGCATATTCTTGAGTGTTCGGTAAGGGATATCGCATCTGCCGACGGTTCCCCAGTATCCTGCTGGTTTTTTTGGTTTCTCTGTAGTAAAAAAATGGCTGAGCTCAATCTTATCACAAGTAATTTCAAATGATAACAAACCTGTTGTCGCTCGACAGCATACGGGTAGATCGCATTCGGCTTCTGATCCTGGGTTGTAATCAAAGTCTACGTGCATATCTGATAACTGTAGGACTCGAAGGTATCGATGGCTGGACCCTTTTGGATGGGCAACTGGAACAAGGAGGTGTTAACGTTTAAATAAACAGCGCAGTTCGGCTTGGTGGGGGCATTTTGCTAGTTCTTATCGATCACTGCCGACGCTTTTAGGGGAAACAGTGAGTGTCTTCATAGCTAGACAAGAACAGGAGCTCTACACTTTGACAAAGTCTACAGGTCTCACTAAGTAAGATGTAAGTTAGCAGAAACTAACGGAAGTGCAAAATGCCTCTCCCAAGCTGAACAGCGCTGAAATAAACTCCTCAGTTAGACATACATTGTGCTCTTTTCTTGTCGATGATTGCCTTCATCTCCTTGGTGGGCTTTGGAGGAAGCGCGACGGCCCAACCAGACTCACTCGGGTCATTTGGATCGGCACATTCGTCCAGCAATAGGCCACAAATAGCAGATGGATTTTTCTCGGCCAGTTGTCGAAACACATAGAAGAACTCTTCCTAGAAACAGAAAAGTCCAGGCTAGTGATATTCCATCCTCATATGGGAATCTCTTCAACCCTCTTCCGTTTTTTTTTCACCTTTTTTACTTTAGGGTCTCATATGGCGGCCTCACGGGCCACAGGCATAATCCCCACAAACGAGAGGGCGCGTGAGGGGCGTGTATTGGACCGCGGCCAAGGGCGGCTCTCTCCACCAACTGATGCCCTTCTGAGCCTGCAACAACTAGTGGAGAAGGCTGCCTTGACCGCGTCCCATTGCACGATTGCACACCTCTTCACACGCGGTAGTTGAATAAAAAACAAAAAATAAGCCAGTCTTACCCTAAACTGTGTCGAAATACCTTCACAAACGACCCAACTCTGTTTTGCCACCAATTTACAGAGTAAAGTGGCAAATTGTAAGACCACAGGTTCGCTCATGTCCAATTTCATGACAAGCCTGAAGCAGAAAAATTTCGGACCGGAAAAACTAGGCTGTATGGCTACAGGGTCCTTTCAAGTCCATAGGAGAAAACCTCACTGTTAGGCAACATAATTTCTGTGATATGGGTAGAAAAATGCTAGTCTCGTCATCTACCGTACCATTTACTTCTTGTTAGTAAGAAAAGAACTAAACTCTAGTTCGCTGCGGACGGTTGGGCGTGTCAGCCAGTATGAGTGTGTCACCCTTTCAAAGCCGTTCTCTGCCTTCTTGTTGAAACGCGCATGCGACAAAAATTAGAAAACGAGTAATAGGAAGGATATGATAGCAGTGTTGTCACTTGCCGAGCTTCAAAGCAACTGGTGCTCGGGCACAGCGCCAAAGCGCTAGGCCGCGCTGATACGCCAATCCGGTCCTGACAGCGAACACTACACTATAGATTCCTTTGCTGTCCCTTTTGGAAGTAGATTCAGGCAACAAGTTGTCTCCGGTAGTGGTCTCAGCTCCTGAGCACGAAGTCAGGGCACGTCCTGGCGTTGGAGAAAAAATTTTGCGAGTTACGATCCCCACAAAATGTGCTCCTTTTTTAGGACCTCCCCCATTCACCTTCCTGAAATCTTCCACCACATTTTTCGCACAGTTAGTTTTCCAAGAAATTCTCCATTTTTTTACCAGGGATGTCGTCGATCGGGGGGAGGGAGAAGAGGGTATATGGAGCACTAGAGATGGGAAAATCCGAGATAAGCCAACCCTTCCTCAGAGGAGAGTCGTTTTTGTCATTCATTAGAATACCGAATTGCAATCCTGCTAGCTTTGAATTCCCAACGACGCGTTCCCTGGGCACTGTTTGATCTTCATGACCCTACTCCTTTCTCTACTTCTAGGAGAAATCGCCGGAGTAGAGACAAGTTCGACGAAATTGAACATCAAAACTTGGGGCCATGAAGATCTGGACGCTGAGGCCTGTAGTGCATTCCGGAGACGCTTTTTGGGCTTCAGGACCCTCAGTCGCATTTATGCCGTCTAAAACACACCTGGAACACATATTTCCAGAATGGAGGTTTTGGTTCAAAAGATTAGGAGTCTTGACTGTTGTAGATAAGGCTCCTATAAACCTCAAGCTCGTCGTCTGAAAATTTACGTATACTTTTTAGCTCTATTTACTTTAGAAATTCTATATTCTGTTGCTCAAAAGGAGCCTGTTTTCAGCTATGTATGAAGATCCGAAATGAATATGAAACATCAATAATATTGGTAGCAGAAAGAAAAACTGACCACATAGCCGAAACAGCCGCATTACACGTCACGCATAGAGGTGAAAATCGCAATTTAGTGGGAGGGTTTTCCTGAGCAAATGACACATACAAACCGTTTATAACCACATAGATCGCTGCATAGTCTGGTCGTGATCCTGTCTAACAATTGTTGAAATTGCCAAGGCGGAGCTCAAGCGGAAGATGTGTTGTGTTTTTTTTCTGCAAAATCTTCATTAGAAACAGCACAACTGGGCGCTACGAGTTCTACGTTCCCGCCTCCTAAAAGACGTGTCAACGGGGGCGGGAATGACGATAGAGGTGGTGGCTGATGCACTGGCTCTCAGTATCATGCAGTGAGGGGAACGGCGCCATACAAATGTAGGAACGGGTCGGCAGCTGAGAACTCGTCCGACTTAGTGGTGCGTATCAAAAAGTCTTGGATGCTCGTTCGTCTGGTACGTGCGCGCTTCACAGTTATGGTTCTTTTTTTTCGCTAGTGAGACGCTGGCACTTTTGCTTACAAGTTGGAGTAAAATTACCGTGCCTACAGCGTTTAACAGCACATTTCACGATCGTATGGGCGGGATCTCTTGATCACTTGGGGCAGGTTAAGGTCTTTCAATGAAAGAACATTTTGGTTTAGGGACCCATCCATGCGTTCAACGTGGAATGTGTTTTATGATAAAAATCACCTTTTTCATCCAGTTCATAGGGTGGTTTCCTTATTGAATATGAATGGCTTGAGAGAATACACAGAGTGAAGACAGCGGATAATGCCCACAAGAACCTTGCCATCGTGGCGAAAATTGGAAGATGCCTACAAGAGAGAGGAAAACTTCTTTATTCCTTGTCCTCTGCAGTAGCTATCGATCTGTAACTGGAAATACATTGCGGCTAATAAACAACTGAAACAAGAAGTTGTTGAAAAAATATAAGCGGCACTATTCAACCCGGGCGGGATCCTAAAGGTAAATCTCACACTCACCTCCGAGAACGGAATTTCCTGTGTGCGAAGTGAATGAGTTCGCAGCTGCAGGTGCGCTTTCTCCGCTCAAGGCGCACGGTGCATTGCACGGCAGTGATACCTGGGTGCTGTTCCGGATTCTGCCCGCGCTATTCTTAAAGGCAGTTGACACGATAAATCCCTAAGACGAGTGGGATTAATACGCCTGGCAGGACGGAATTCCGCGCCCTGAGCAGGCGCTGCGTAGCGCCCTTTTTAAAGAAGGTACCTAAGAGGCCTACCAAGCTACAACATACCGACCCGAACGCCCACCACGCCCGCCCGCCCACAAATGGACGACCGTTCCTGACGCTCGTACTGATTCATTTGCTAAGCAAATTATGAAGTGAGGGGATTGGTGTGAAGCGGTGCTGCATGATTATATGAGTACATACATGCAGCCGTATCTTCGGTAGCGGTTATTGGCAAGATGCCTACAGGAAACTCGTCCAAAATTGATTTTCATTGAGAACGAGGCTTTTTCTTCGCAGGATTTTGACCGTTTCACTCCGTTCTTTCGCCATTTTCCACTATATAGCGCCCTGCTAGCATTTTAGGCCGAGTACCAAATTATCGTGCCAACTGCCCTTAAGACGCAGCATTTGCATCAACACCAGAACTCCCTAACGA